GGAGTCACGACTCCCCGCAGGCCGCTGCGGCCACAGCTGCGGAGGGGGAGCAACAAAGAGGGGCGCGCGAGGGTGGCGCCCCGGGGGCCTCCTCTCACCTGCGCGGGCAGCGAAGCGGCGGGTCGGCAGCGCGCACCGGGTCTTGGCCGGGGATGGTGGCTCCCGGGGATGCGGCGCGGAAGGACCCGCCCGCGACCCTTCCCCTTAGAAGCTGGTTGGAGGGAGCGAAAGGAGCGGGTCAGTAAGCCGAGTGCCACCACCCTCCAGAGCGCCGCGCACCACTCCGAAAGCGGGGCTCGCGACGCGGCACGTGGCGACTCCATTCACCCGACATTCCGTTTACTGAGCTCGCACCTTGTGCCAAGCACCGTGCCAGGCGCTCGGGAGTCAGCGCAGAATAGGCAGGCACGGTTCGCTTTGCCTGGGGGCTTGCAATCTGGTGGCGGAGACAGCTCCTCGAATTTGGGATAAGGCCAGTGCCAGAAAAGAAGAGGGTGCAAATCCTGCGGTTAGGGAAGGAGGGAAGGCATTCAGACCAAGGCCTGAGCGTCAGGAAAGGGTAGCCGCAGTCGGAGCCAGGGAAATGCCTGCCAGGAAGGAGGTGTTTGAAAGCCAGCCCGAGGGGCAAGTCCTGATGCCTCAGAGGTAGAAATGGTGATTGTGATTGGCCCTGGATAGCTGGGGAGAGTAGCTTCAAGGAAGCAGGACAGGTGTGCAGGGCCAGATCGCGAGCTGCAGTCTGTCCCACTGCGGGACAGTTCACACCAGCCTTGAATAGATGGCTGAATCCCCGGGGCCGGACATGATCTGATTTACATTTCTTGTATCTTCCTTTTTTCTTTTGCATTAATTGTGGAGTCGCATCCATTTGTGAGAAATGAACAGTGAGGTCCTGCGTACCCCCGGCCAGTTTCCCCCAACTGTACAAGATCATAGCCAGAGTGTTGACATTAGTACCATCTACTAATCTTATTACAATTTCCCTGGTTTTACTTGCACTGGTGTGTGTAAGCGTGCATTTAGATGTGTGCAGGTATATCACATAGGTAGGCTCATGTATCCACCACCACTGTCAGTGCAGAACAGTCCCATCTTCCAAGGATCCAGCCCCACTGCTTTTTTATAATCACAGCCACTTCTACAGACTCCCAGTTCCATGCCATTGGTGGTCACTGATCTGCCCTCCATTTCTGTAATTTTGTCACTTCAAGCATGACACACAAATGAATCATGCACTAGGTAACCTTTAGGGACTGACTTCCGCTTCACTCTCTTGAGATGCACCCCAGTTGTTTCCCGTGTCCATAGCATGACTTTCTTTACTGCTGAGTAGTATTCCAGGTCTGAGTCCTAGGGTTTTTGTTTTTGTTTTTCTTAGGGACAAGAGAAAATAAAACAAAACAAATATTAATAGCATGTATACCCATGTCAAAAAATCCAGAAACGACAGCAGTTGGCAAGGATGTGGAGAAGAAGCAATACTTGTACACTGTTGATGGGAATGTAGACTGCTCAGCCTTTATGGAATACAGAATGGAGGTTTCTCAAAAGAGTAAAACAGATCTACCATAGGATCCAGCAATTCCACTCCTCGGTATCTACCCAACGCATGCAAAAAGCAATAACTAGAAAACATATATGCTTTCCTATGTTCATCTCAGCCCTATTTATAATAGCCAAGTTAGGAAACAGCCTAAGTATCTGAGGACACTGGACTACTACTCAGCGATTTAAAGAAGTGAACTCGGACCGCCCTGGTGGTACAAGAGATTAAGTCTCAGCACTTTGCAGCTATGGGAAGCCACTGCAACACTCTATTCTGGGCCAGGGCGCTGACGCTGTGGGCACAGCGGACCTGTCCTGTCTCCCTGCTGCTCCCCTCAGCAGTGTGCTTCGTCACTCTGCCTGTTCTGCTCCCCACTCTGTCTCTGGTGAATGCTCTCACTTCCCCCCGCCCTCCACCTCTCACCTGTACCCCAATTCTTGTATGCATAAATAGATAAATCATTAAGAAAAATTTTAAAAAGTTAATGTTTGCCATCTGTGACAACATGAATGGAACTGAAAAGTATAGGCCGTGTGAAATAAACCAGAAAGAGAAATACCGGATGATTTTGCCTATATGTGCAATAGAAGTGTTAGTCAAAACCAAATGAGTAACAAATCTTACAAGTCTGACTGTAGAATCGAGGCTAGCAGAGGGAGGGTGAAGGGGGTATGGCAAAGTGGGGAGGAGGCCCCGTGGACTATGGTGGAGGACCATGGCGCCTCAGTGAAGGGTGTAGTGAGGTGCCCCCATGAAGAGGGCCACATAGTGGTGGTGTGAATCAGTGCCTCAATCAATAACAAACAAACATTCATGAACTTTCCTATATACATAGAAGAAACCCAGGGAAACTGAGTGTTTCTGATTAATATTTTCAAAAATCAACTTGAACCCCACATGGACATAGGCTCGGAGACAGGGGAAGCAGGGGGAATGGTTAGGAGATATTTCCAGTAGTTCCTGTCAAAGCAGGTGCTGGTATAGATGAAGTTGGTGCCGGTGGAGAGCAGTGGCAGTATTCGATGGAGCAGGATTGAAAGGACACTGGAGTTGAAACAGAGAGGCTCAGGGTAGAGCGTCACTTTGAGATGTCATGAGACGTGTTCAGGATTAGTGGAATTCTCAGGGAGGGGTTGCTTCGGCAAAGGAGCCATCTCCCTACCCAGGCGATGTGGAATGAGACCTGGTTTTCACCAGGAGGACGGCCCAACACCTGCATCCAGACCATGGAGGCATATTCTGGTTATTCCCGTAGGGTGCTGACTCCCTTAGGAGAGATCATGCGGAGTAAGCCCTTGCAGGTGACTTCTCTCCCTGGCACCCAGGCTTAGGCCTTCCCTAAGCCCTCCAAGCTTGCCAAGCCTGCAGAAGCACTGAACTTCATTTTTTCCTGAATGTCAAGGAGACTCCAGCTTAGTCTTGCTAAGAGAAGAAGCTGATCGCTGCCCCCCACCCTGCGCCCCCAGGGCTTTTGTGAAATTTATACAGAAATGTGACTCAAGTGCTAGAGGAGGTACCCACGCACAACAGGAGGGTGCCCACGCACAGCAGTCGGCACAGAGATCGGGCAAGCACCAGCCCTGAAGAAGCAGTTAAGAGGCTCCCAAGATGGAGGGTTCTGGATGAAGGGCCCTCTTCCAGGGACCCTTCTGGCCATGCCCTGGTGCTCAGTGTTCGGGGTGGGCAATTCCTTACAACAGTCCTTCCTTCCTCCTCCTTGGCTCCAGCTTTCCTCTGGTGTCTTGCTTTCTTCCCCGCTGTGGATATCCGTGATGTGTTCCTGCTAGTTGCAAGGCACAGCTCTCCTGCATTGCCCCTGCTTGGTCTACACCCAAGGCCAGCCCTGCCCGCCTCTTAACACTTCATCTCCTTGGAGTTGAACTCCACTTTTGTGGGTCATGGAAACACATTGTTCCACTTAAAATATGTGGGAGATTGTGTTGCAGAATAAGCAAAACGGATAAAAGGGAAGAGGCTGCCCAAATTAATTGTGAACTTGTGTGCTGCATTCTGGTAATGTTTGCAGCATTAAGAAGCAAAAAGAAATTAAATAGACTAAAATCAGATGGTATGAGCTCAGATCTGATCTTTTTCATTTCTGTTTGAGTAAGGAAATAAGCAGAAGGGTCTTAGATTTCAACAGAATTTAAA